CGGTGGAGACAGGCTGGAGGGGGCACTATAACAGCCAGCCACCTCCGAGGTTCAGGTTTTTTAGTCCCCAGATGAAAACGAGTGGTTAACTTTTGCAGTGCCTAGAGTAAGGCAGTTTTTTTCAAGTATGACAAATGCAGGGATGGCTTGGAGGGGAAACTTCACTCTTCCCAAACTCTAGTGGAGTTTTGCCCTTCCTGTACTTTAAAGTTTCCTCCTCCCTTTAAAGTTGAATTGGTTCCTCCTGGATGATGTTTCATCAACCCAATTATGGAAACTCTACCATGCAGGCCACTAAAAAGGCAGTCTGACTCTAGGGATGTCTCTCTATTATAAGGCAGTCTGACTCCAGGGATGTCTCTCTATTATAAGGCAGTCTGACTCCAGGGATGTCTTTCTATTACAAGGCAGTCTCTCTCTCTTCCTAAACTCTAAAGTTAGCCGTACACTTTTTTGTTTCAGCCCCATAGGCATAAAAGAGAACAGAAAGTTAAATTCCCCCACCCACACTAAACAGAGTGGATAGGAATATCTCCCCTGCCAGGCTATTGTATTCTGACAGCTGAATGGTTGCAGCCACTGTTCGCCCAACAATATTCATCCCGATTCCTTTGACAAAAGGAATGAAATTTGAGCAGTGTATTGTCAGCTTTGTTGTTGACATGTATGCTGATAAACAGGCAGTATAGATGAGTACCTTCAACTCAGAGCACAAACTGATAACTACCCATGATCCCTACCCACAAAAGATGAGCACTTGCAAAACCCCAATTGATGATCATAAAAATCCCCCAGGCCTGTTTGCATCCATAACCTACTCCTTTCCCTTAAACTTAAAACTAGTGAAAGTTGAAATCTTCAGTAATAATAGACAGGAGAAGTTTTACTGCTTCTTTTTTTCACCCAGCACAAACACTGTAAGGGCTATCCACAAAAGGGTGAAGAGTCTGGAGAAGGCAGGAGAAGTGAACAATCTAGGACAAAATAGCTGAACTGGAAAGTGAGCTGAAATGGAGAATTTTTCCAAATCAGCTATTTTGGCCTAAATTGTTTACTTCTCCTGCCTTCTCCAAACTCTTCACCCTTTAGTGAATAGCCCTGTGTGTTCTGATAGATGGCTGATGCCCACACGCTGATATCAACACTCAGCACTACTAGCCAAACACATGACAAAACATTAATTGTTAAATGAGGGAGCATACACAGAAAAAAAAACGCCTTCAATGTAAATCAAAGTACGACTCCAAACAATAAATATTATGTTTCACCCAATGGCAGATGTATAAGTCCTCACGCTATCTACATAATGAACAGAACACATAACCTCACTCTAATATTTAAACGTCCATGATTACATCATTTTATTAAAAATTCCACTTCATGACCTTTCCATTCAGCCTCCTATAACTGCATAGCAGACGTCCTCTTGAATTGCCCTGGAATCAACTGCTCCCTGACTCCACTGACATTCACTGTTATAGACAATTAGGCAGGAAATGACAGGAAGAGGAGAGGAAGTATGGTATAAGCAATTTGAACCCCTGATAAACTAGAGATGATTTTACTTGTCCTGATTAGTGATGGATTAGCAGGATATTCTCTTTTGTTGTTGTTGTTGTTGTTATTTATTCATGTCTTAGTGGCTAGTAGTAAGGGATGCAGGGAGTGACACCTAATAATATTAAAGGGGTTCCACTTTAACCAAGAATGCGTAACATTTCTTCTGTAATCAAGAATGCAGAAAATTCCTTTACTGGTGGCTAGTAGCTTATTTAACCACTAGAAAGTGGTAAGCTACATATTACTACATATTCAGTGTTAAAGTGTTTCTGACTATCCGTTGTTACAGCAGCAATTACTGCAGATGTTACAATTAGGCCTTTCTTATGGTTCTACTATCCTAAGGGAAGATAACAGGCAAGGATACCAAAAGGATATGCTATGACAATGAAGAAACAAACCATTGAGCTAATAATTTACAGCTTTGGACTCTGTCTGGACCCATCAAGGAGTCAGAGCCAAGCAAAAGGGTTTATGATGTCCCAATGCTATTCGTTATTCGGATAATAGAGTGATGAATAATACAGATATTGGTGGGTGACATTCTACTCCTCTTTCCGGTGGAACAAAGGTTTTACGACCAAATAAAATGGATCTGATAAATAGGAAGGTGGAGGGTGTGAAGCCATCTTTGTATACTGTTGTTGGATTCTTGCTGTATTCTACTGGGGCCGCAGCTCTTGTTACACAGTCCTTAACAGAATGGGCCAAACTCGTAAATATGTTTGTTGGATTAACAGGCTGCTGATTATGACAGTTGAATCGCTCAACAGATGAACAAGTTCTGGTTGTGTGGTTAGAAGCCTTGTATAAACTTCCATCTGGCTGAATGTTCATTTAAAACATTTCAATTATGTTTAGAGCAGCAGATACAGTCAACACATTTCTTTTGGGCTTGAACCCCCCTTCTTCAGGGCTTGAACTATGATTAGTGATACAATCAGGAAAAAATTATATGGGCAGCCTTAATCTGAAGCTGGTTTGAAGCTAGTATGTCATCACAGCACTGTAAATAGCCAGCTGAATATTTGCAGTGCCATTAGGACACACTAGTTTCAACTGGAAACACTGGGCTGCGAGTGCCTCATGGGCTTTTTGCAATCAGGGATCAAATTTTACAGGTCTGCAAGCAGCTGCCTGGTTATCTTCACAAACCTTACAAAGTTCTACAAGGTCAACACTGTTGCATCTGGAGATGCTAGTTTTGGACATGCGGTTAAGAAGGCAGTGGTATAACGTCCTTGACGCTGGGAGGGGTTCCTTGTTGCAGTTGTTTTCAAGTTGTTGTTTTTAGCTCTCGTCTCTATGGGCACTGCTTTTTGCGCCAGCCAATCATTAAGAATAGAGAAAGCCATGTCTTTCAATGAGCAAAAAAAGAAAATAGGACTTTTTTGTACTGCCAATAACATCTTTTTCTTTGAGTTCATTGACAGACATAGCAGCCACCCCTGTTTTTGTTAGCTGTTGCCTATATACGTTGGAGTGTTTTTTTTTCTCCTTTTTTTGTTTACATAAATGTTTACAGTATAAAGGGTTGATACCAGGGGCATAAGTAGAAATCACAGGGCCCCATAGCAAAATTTTGTATGGTGCCCCATGATTTCTAGTTATACCCCTTGCAGAGCCCATTCGAGATCCCACCTGAGGGTGACCCTGCAGAGCCCACCTAGACTCTCTATGATGGGCTCTGCAGGGTCACCCTCAGGTGGGCTGGTCGCACTCCTTACCTGTCCGCCTCCTCTTCGTCCACGGTCACCGATGGGCCCCGCCTACTCCTCCGTCGCCAGGCCCGCCTCCTTCGTTGTCACCTGGCCCCGCCTCCTTCACTGCTGCTGACCACGGGCCCCTCCTCCTCCACTAATGTGTCCAGTCTGCTTCACCGCCGCTGCTGGCTCTCATTGACTCTGTGGAGAGGAACACGCTGCTGCACAGATTACTGTCAGTGATCTGAACAGCGGCGTGTTTGTCTTCAGCCGCCAGTGAAAGCCACCAGCAGAGGATCCCATAGCGACCCAGGCGGCCCGCACGGCATCTGACCGGGCCCCATAGCGGCTGCCTGGGTCGCTATGGTGATTGTTACGCCACTGGTTGATACAGATAGATAGAAGGGAAAGATCTCAATTGCACATTACAAAAGAGCATTACAAGATACTGTACAAATCAATAGTGTGTCAATGTTGTACAGACAAATGTATTCAGGTACAGTCAGTCAACACCACGATAACAGTTGAGGAAAGACACCACAACCCAAACGAACAAATTTAGCAACCGTAAGCCTATCAGAAAGGAAAATGGAAAAAAAAACAGGAAAAAAATGAGGCATGCGTGAGGCTAAGCAGATCAAATCATTGTAAGTCATGGTAGGACATCTAGCCCCCCTAGCATACCTGCCACTTTCTCCATCAAATACCAGTTAGTATATTGAAACATGGCCACACATCCCTCAACTGGGAATGGGTTAGTTCTGAAGTCAAATAAGGAGATCAAGTTTTAAAAAGAACATGCCTCTTGTTTTTGAGGATGTGATAAGATGTAAAATTTGTCTAAAAGCATCAGCTTATATACTAACTTTTCAACCCTGGACTGTTGGGGGAGAAAGCCATCGAATAAGAATTTTTGATATCTAAAAGGCATAAATGTTCCCGAGTGTTTTGCCGCAGTATGGTCACTGCACTGTTAGAGGGGAAGTGTGTGAAATAAACACACACAGGAAACCAACAACAGGTTATTGACAAAAGGGTGAAGAGTTTGGAGAAGGCCGGAGAAGAGAACAATCTAGGACAGCATAGCTGAACTGGAAAGTGAGCTGTATTAGAGACTTTTTCCAAATCAGCTATTTTGTCCTAGATTGTTCACTTCTCCTGCCTTCTCCAAACTCTTCACCCTTTTGTGAATAACCCTGTTGGTCTCTCACAAGCCCCGTGATGCTGCCCATATAGGATAAGGCTTCCCTTCACTTGCAGGGCCAGAACAGTTGAGTAAGGTTAGGGTATACCTCATTTTAGACAGGAGATTGTCCAAGCTGATGTATTTTTATGTGGTATATTAAATGCCCAATATGCACAATGTAAAAGTTTAAACTGTATCTTCCTCCACACCTTTCCTATGGTTGCTTATGAAAACCGTTCACTAAGTGAGCTCTTCAGGGTGGAGTTTGGCAAGAAGTAGGGGCCATCCCTAGCCTGAGATTTGTTTAGTTTTATACTTAATGTCCTACTCCTACAGGTGTCAATATACCCCGATGATCAAGAACAGAGAAAGCTATGTTCATCATTGAACTCAGAGAAAAGGATTTTACAGTGAGTCCAAAAATGTTTTTGTTTGTTTGTTCTGGTTTACATTAATACAATCGGGTAAAAACATGTAACATTCATGTTATGTTTTGAGAAATGATATAACTGCAGGGTGTGTAAGCAACTGTCACAAAGTTGCATACTTACCAGAAACCAATAAATATTCATGAGTGTCAGTGCAAATAGCAGAACATTGAAGAAGAAATAAAAAGGGATGTCTGGATTAGACTCAAGGCTGGAACAACATGTGACATAAAGCACTTTCATTGGAAACCAGTAGAGTCGGAACCAGAACCTGTAGGGACAGGAATGTGACACTATGTAGAACTATATAAACAATTAGATATTTAGCAGCTGAAGTGAGAGGTCACACATACGGCAGGTTACAAATGTATCAGCTTACCAGCTCACGCTAAACAGGACAGATCCGATTTCCGTAATGATGCTGTTAACTCTGTGGTAGGTTTCACCTCTTGTCTTGAAGTAGACGTTTAGTTTGGAAAATTCTAATACTATGTCATTAACATCATGATGAAAAAGTACCAGAATCCCAATGTTGTGGTACCTATAAAAACACGTCAGAAATAAGCTTGTCTTCACAAAACAATATAATTTCAGTTTAAAAACTGACTTTTTATGAACAATCTATCATTCTCAGTACAAATTTGGTTAAAATGCAATGAAAGTAGAGGGTTACTTATTGAGGGTAAGGCTAACATATAGGGGTCTATTCACAAAGCTGCCGAAGGATCTAGCCGTAGCTTCGGCTGATCCTTTGGCTAGCTTCGGCCCCAGGACCCTTTCGGTTCAGTAGAACCGAAGGGCTGCTGTACGGGCTATTCACTATAGCCCGTACAGCTCCCGAAGTTGGCCGAGCTGCTCAGTCGAGCCGAAGGCATATGCTTCGGCTCCACTGAGCCGAGGTTAAAGCCGAGAGCTGCTAAGCTCTCATCGTAATGACAGAACAGTGTCCCTGGTTACTGGGTAACCAGGAACGCTGATCTGTTATTACAATAAGAGCTTAGTAATGTAATGTAATGACAGCTGGTCCCGGCCAATAGAAAACAGTTGGGTGGAGCTAGCTGTCACTGCGAGCTCCGCCCAATCGTTTTCTACCTTTTTTTAACAGTTTTTCTATTCTGCTTGGTACAACCGAGGTACCGAGCAGAATAGCTGAGCCCGGTGGCATTCGGCTATTCACTCACTGCTGTTCGGCCTCTATGAGAATAGGTCGAACAGCAGTGAGTAGCCTGCCGGAGGTTCGGCTCAGCCGATCCAGATGATTGATCATCTGAGTCGAACTCCTTCTGCACTTCGGGTCGGCCGAACATGCTGAGCATGTTTGGCCAACCCGAACCCAGCCGCAGCAAGCCGATGTACGGCTGATTTCAGTCGGTGTACGGCTGAAATCAGCCGTACAAGCCTGAAGTGAATAGCCGAACAGCGTTCGGCTCACTTCACTTCAGGTCGGTTATTCACACGGCTGCCCTCGGCAGCTTTGTGAATAACCCCACTAGTGTGCTGTCCAGTCTGTCTTGTGCTTATCTCATATGGGTCTGGTGATACAGGTTCAGAACTTAGGCCACATTTACACTTCAGCTGAGCATCTTTGGGTGTGTTTGGTTGTTGTTTTGGGCATTTGCACAGGCATTTTCTTTTCAGGGTTATTCACAAAAGGGTGAAGAGTTTGGAGAAGGCAGGAGAAGTGACCAATTTAGGACAAGATAGCTGAACTGAAAATTTCTCCAAATCAGCTATTTTGGCCTAGATTGTTCACTTCTCCTGCCTTTTCCAAACTCTTCACCCTTTTGTGAATAACCCTGTTTATTTTTAGCCAATGCAAAGCTAGTTAAGAGGCAAAAAAGCTTGAAAAACATGTGTTGCACAGGGATGGGTGCATTGGTGAAACTTTTATATATACGCATAGCTTTGCTGTTATTGCTATTATTGGAGGTTTTTGGCACAACAGGGGTCCATCACGTTGGCCCTTTAGGACGCAATGGTGCAACAGGGGTAATTTCTTTGGTTCCCCAAGACACACTGCGGAGAGACGATGTTTTGTTGGATGTAACATGATAGACATCAATCAGAGGACTACTTTCATTCCATCCCTCAGGTTACAAATTAGTCTTGTTATCATCATAAGATAAAAGGATTGTGTCACAATATTGGATTATGATATCTCTCTAGTGTATCAGAGGACCCTATACATCTCTAACCCCCAGGACGTATCACGGCACGCATGTAGCTGCATGTTAGTGCATCATTTATTAGAGTTGGAGACTTTCATTGCTTCAATTGTACAGTGCGCATGTAGAAAGCGACTTTTAGTTGCATTTCAGTACACCATTCACTGGAGTCAGAGATTTTTTTATTGTTTTGGTTGTACAGCTATATCTTTTGATGCCCTTGTTTTGTTATCCAGGATTGGAGGATACTGGGTTATGGACACATTTTTTCTGATACATGCATGAAGTATTGTCTTACATGATTAACATATATATTTTTGAGACTAGCTGTGCGGAAACCTGGAGGGCATACACTTATTGAACATTAATAGTTTAGTCTATTTATCTGGCCATATGTGTTTTATACTATGTTTATAATGGCCTCGTGAGCGTATGATAGAGTTTTTATGCTTTTTATTGGGGAGGTTTGTGCTCATGTTTTTCACATGGTGTCTTTGTATCAATAAAGGGTCTTTCTTATATTTAGGTTTAGTATTTGTGAAGATGCTTGTCAGTGTACCTGGGGCTATATAAATGCAATATTTAGTGAAGCCTCTGTTTCATTTTCTTATGCAGAATTATAGAATACTGTGGTGTGAACAGGGGCCATTGAAAACAATGATATTCCTCTTTTTGAGCGTTGTAGTGCTTATGCATTTGAGTTACAAAAAGCTAAAATGTTAATGGGGCCCCAGAGTTCACACAGTAGGCAACTGGGAAAAAAAACATTTACTGCATACATGTATAGATATCACCAGATAGATATTTAAGCAGATACTGCTTACATTGTATGGAATAGGGATTTAATAGATCAGAGCGAAATCCAGGGCTGTCCATGAGACAGGGGTGTGTGTGTGTGCTGTCAGCGGCCCTGTCTGGCATCCACTGCCAACCTGATCATCCAGCTCAGCTCCTGGCAACCATTAACATCAGTGAGCTGGGCAAAAAAATGGACAGAGCGTCACACTGTGGCCACACCTGCTGCCAGCCAATAAGATGGCGCTTGAGGCAACCACCTCAGGCTGCATCCTTATACTTTACTATTTAATTTGTATGCATAATTATCCTGCATTTTGTACACTGATCATTCCCTCACTAAATAAGTTGGTTTAGGGTATTTTGATGCCAAAAGTATGCTTATGTGCAACCATGACTACATAGCTACAATAGTGCTAATCAACCCCACAAATCGTTTCCCTCTCCCACAGTGTTGTGCTCTATGACACAATAGGAGGAGGCTGATCAGGTACTCTTGTGACTAGGTCATGTGATCATATGCTGTATAAGAGGTTTCTATTGGCTGAAGAAATTTCTGAATGCCACATTGTGAAAAAATGCTTTGATTAGAATTTTAATATAACTGTTCGTACAAAACTTTACCAGTGTAAGGCCAGCTTTATGGTTATCTGGTTTAAGAGCTTGGCAACTTTTCATATTATCAAGTCTTACTGCTTCAGACACCTGAACAAATTTGTTAATAGGTTGTATTTTAATATTTCTGTCATCCGACACTACAGAAAAGCTACTGTTTGAGACTAAAGTTCTTCTTTAAAGGCCATTAAGGCTGGGTTCACACCTAGACGTATCGAATATGTGCGTTTCGTGACGCGCGTTTTTACCGCGGTTAAAAAAAACGCGCGACAAACGCGCGTTTCCGAGGGCTACTTGGCTGTATCCCAATGGAAACGCACAACAAAAACGCCCCAGAGAAGCTCCTGTGCTTCTTTGGGCGTAGGGCGTTTTGTAGCGTGTTCATACGGCCTGTAATACGCCCAGGTGTGAACCATACCCATAGGAAATAATGGGATTTCGGTGTTTGAGCGTTTTGCAGAGCGTAGGAACGCGCTACAAAACGCCCAGGTGTGAACCAGGCCTAAGAGGTGTACCCACACTCTATGTTGGATGCAATTTATGTTATGGTGTATGCAGCAAGAGGAGCTGGAATACACAAAGGTAAGCAGGAACATTCTGGACAGGAAGAGAGTCTGGAACAGTCTAGCAGGGAGTTCTGAGTCCAAGACTTATAAGAAGCCAAGGGCTGACTCATATCACTTTTGGGTGGACTGATCCTGATCCAGTACTCTGAAGGATACTAGTTGTTTACTATAGAGGTAATATTTAACTTACCGGAAGGCATAGGAGAAAATAATTAGATTAAAAGTGACTAGATGGTGCAGAATCATGACAACAGAGTCTTTTCTCCATGCATCCAAATACAGGGTTGCATATGTTGAGTGTGCGTAGAAACTGCCTTGAACCAGATACAGAAGTGCAATTTCCAAGGGAACATCTGCTCCTGATGTCCAACCTAGGATCCATAAAACAAAGATAAAAGGAGTAAATAAATCAGAAAATGTAGAGCAAAAAGTGAGGCTGGTGTCCTATAGCCACTAACCAGAGTTTAGGTTTAAGCACTAGTATATAGTTTAGATAAAGAGATCTGCTTAAACTTAGCCCATGCTTCAGATTCAGTTTATTTTATTACAGAACTACACAGATGCATAAAGTTACCTGATTTTCGCTCATCCATTCAACTGCCAGAAGCAAAAGAAAAGCATGAGCATGAACAGTAAGTTGTAGATATATTCACGAAAACCATCTTTTATAACCATGAAGTTAAAATAATGAACAGAAAATAAAAGGAGACAGCGAAACCTGTAATGTTCCCTTTACATTAGTGGCAAGTGGAGAAATTCCCCCACATCGATGATTAGTGGAGAAGGTACCATTATATTGAAGTTCAGCGTAGAAGGGCCTCCCTTACATTTATGTTACAAGGACAAGGGCCTTAATATTGGTGGACAAGAAAACTGTCCTTTACATTAGTGATTTCATTAGAGGTTAGTCAAGGAACTCCAAACAACCTCGGAAGGAACCCTACCACAAAACTCTGGCTGCGATAGGCTGCTATAGAGTATATTGACATTTCCTATATGTACAACATATCTTTACACATACCGCGGAAGGTAGAGGGTGGGTCATGAAAAAAGTTGTGCTTGGTGAAGAAGAGAAGGTACGAGCAATAGAACCATGATGCACAGTAGAAAAGGAATTTCCAGGCACTCTCCGGAACTTTCTCTGCTTCTTTTGGCCGCAGTCGGCACCATTTACTAAATGGCTGTAAAGAGATGCAGAAAAGCATACTAAGAGTTGGTAGTCGTAAAATATATGTACAGTACATTTGTGTTAACAAAAAGAAAATCTGCTGGAGAGAGTATTGTGCTTTAAGAAGTGCTAAAATCACAATACACATGAGGAGGATTCAGAAAGCTTTAGACTCCAGCTATTAGAGATATAAACAAGGGACACAACAGTACTCTCCATACAGCACATATAGTAAGTCTTATATATGACAACATGCATTGCGAAATCTATTTACTATACAGATGGCCGTGGCAAACAGGGAAAGCTCAATTTCATTTTATTTGCAAGTGTGATTAGGTAATGCACATGCACTTAATATGTGGTACAGATATACAAAAATATACAATGACATGCACCATTTTTTAAAAACAATACTCCACAATAAATGCATGCATTTTGGTAACAGGTGGTAAAGTGCATTTTAACATGCATAACAGCAATGCACTGGTGTGAAAGAGCTCTGTAGCTAAACTGAATGTTTAAATTAAAGTGACCTGTCAGCACAGGGACAGTTGTACAGTAAAGGGATTATATAAGGATTGTATACATGCTAAAAGAGTGCTATACTTACCTTTCCGGTGGCACATTTCTTGAAATGCCAACTCTGATCCTGTACTGACAGGGTCACTCTAAAGCTGTAGCTGTAAAGAAGAATGGAAATACTTGCTTCTCCTGCTGCCCATGCCACCAAACACCACTACGATCAAGAGAAACTGCTGGCTGAAGTCTGTGCAGAAACTGACACTTCTGGGACTGTCAACCTCCTGTTTCCCCCAAAAGTATTCAGTGATTCTTCCTGCCGACTCCTACATCACTACAATGTCCTAAGGGACAGCACAGCAGATTCTGCTTGCTTTGCAACTCAATTTGTCTCATTAAACTTAGTACCTATTGCAGTGCAAAGGGATCAGTCACTGCTCAAATGACACTGAGTTTTGTAAAAAAAAAAGGGAGTCTTTTAGCATGGAATCAGAAGCGATACAATGCTACAAAAGATACAATGCTAAGCACTTAGCTAGAGCTCCACCCTCTGGCTCAAAAGAAAAATTCTATATTTTGATATGCAAAATGTTATATATACCTACAAAAAGAAAACTGATTTTTAAACATTTGGTGGAGCTCTAGCTAAGCGCATTATGAGAAATGTTTATTTTTTAAACTTTTTTTTTACACTTAACTTGATTCCTATCACATAGGGGGATAAAAGGCCCCCTATGTGATAGCCAATATACAATGACAGGTCCTCTTTATGGATACATTAGGGGTCTCTAAGACCCCTAATGTCACCTAAGGACCCCCAAAGAAGCTGATGAAGCAGAGATCTGCTTCACCATCTTCTCTGGCTATAGCAGCCAGAGAAATGACAGCTAAAGGCGGAAGTGATGTAATACACATTGCTTCCGCCTTTAGAGAGAGAGGAGGAGAGATCAATGGTGGGGGAATGCTGAACTCTCTTCCTTCTCAGTCTCAGTACCAGTGGGGGGGCTCGCACTGTGGGTGGTCATACAAGCGATCGGCCGAACGCTTGTATGCAACAGCTGGTAACTGCTGTTTACATTACCGGCGGCATTCTGCTCGTCCATCCGCCATCTGCCCATGTTTTGACAATGGGCAGATGACAAGGGGTTAAAAAACCCAAAATGAATGGAAAGTAGGAAAAAGGAAAAAAAAGTGGTTTTCAAATACAAAACAAACCCCCCATTGTTATAAGTGAAAAATACTAATAGTCAAAGGATGTAAGGGCAAAGTCTTATGAATTATTGCTCTACTTTACACACTTGAATGTGACAGCCTACGCTAACACTGCATACATCCAGCTAACCACTGTGGTATGACTGCCTCCGCTTCAAGCCTACTTAATATGTGCAGTGGTAAAGCTTGTGCTGAGTTTGTCAGTACAATGGGGTTACAGTTTCTCACAAACACTTTTTGAGCACAAAGAAACAACTCACATCATCCTTATTTAGAAAATGTGCATATACAGAATTCTAATGTCATCTCTGCACTCTTGTAACTAGGGTTGCACAGATACCAAGTACAGTACTCGGTACAAGTACAAGTACATGTACCGATACTTTTGAGCTCCAAGACTACACTAGAGAAAAATTCAAAAATTAGGAGGCAGCTGTCATTTGTAAGGAGCACACGGAGCTCCTGGGATTTGTACATCTCTGTTTTCATGTACGATTTTGTTTTTATAAATATAAATAAAGGGATGCACAGATACCAGTTTTGCGAGTACGAGTACTGGTACTTGCCGAGTACTTACAAGTACGAGTACTGATACATTTTTGTTTATTGTCATGTGACAGTTTTTCTAAAACAATACAGACTAAGGCCTGGTTGACACCTAGGCGTATTGCATATGTGCGTCTGTCGCGCGTTTGTTTTACCGCGATTCGCTGTAAAAACAATTGCGCGACAAACACGCATTTCCGAGGGCTACTTGGCTGTATCCCAATGGAAACGCGCAACAAAAACGGCCCAAAGTAGTACATGTACCTTTTCAGGCGTGGGCCGTTTTGTAGCGCGTTAGGGACGGGCTGAAATACGCCAAGGTGTGAACCAGACCCATTGAATACAATGGGATTTAGATGTTTGAGCGTTTTCTAGAGCGTTCGTCGAGCGTAGAACGCGCTACAAAACGTTCAGGTGTGATTTCAGGACAGTGGTGGAGTGCCAGAGCCCGGTCCCAGCTGCAACCGCTGCAACCCTGGAAGTTCTCATGAAAATGCCAGGTATCTGCACTGGTACTCGAAAAGTATCTGTGCATCCCTACTTGTAACCCTTTACTTTTTACATGTAATAGGAACATAGCGATACAAAGAATAATAGTCAAACTTTATTTTTTGCAAATACCATGCAAATGTATTGGGGGATATACCTTGAGAACACTAATTCAGGCGCAGGGTTGACCCAACCTGCGCAGTTTTTGGTTTGTTGCTCTACACAACAGAATTCTATTAAATGCAAAATGGCCTGATCAAAATAGTCCATAGAGAGCCTCAGAAGAAGAGATGTTGAAGCTTAAAAAATTAGAAAGTGTTACAAAAGAATCAGTTCACAGCTAGGCAGATAGTTCACTAATAGTTCACTCGGTCAGAGTATGAACACTTCATAGTAAATGGGGAGTGCAGAATACATGCTTGAGCCTTGCTCTGAAGACTTTTACAAGTGGCCATGCAGCTGCTCATCAGTAATATCACACTGGATCAAGGACAGGAGAGTATAGGACTGGCAGGGAGAGTGATCCTGGTAAGGCCCATCTCCAGGCACAATTTTTTAAAAAGTCTTACATAAATTGTAATTACATTCAAGTTTAAGTGGATGGTCACCTGTAAAGAGTAAACATTGATAGCAGGCAGGGGCCCTCATACCTTTTAAACAAAGGGTCAGTACACTAGGGGGGCTAGGCTGTGACCAGTCAGAGTAAGAAATGCCCCATTGTCAGTACAAGTTAAGAGTACCTCTGCATCTGAAGTTAAATGGAGTATAAAATGCCCCTGGAGCAAGTGGCAGGCAGAATAGTACCCAAACACTAGTAGGGAGGAATAGTCCCTATCACTGGTGTCAGTGGGATGAATAGTGCCCCATCGTTGGTGTCAGTAGCAAGAAAAATACCCCGTTGTTGGTGTCAGTGGGAGGAATAGGAATATTGAAAAAGTCACCCGTACTCCAAGATCAAATGTGCTGAACCATCGCATCACTGTGTTTGCCTGATGAAGGGACCATATTCGGTTTCCGAAATGTTGCTTATTGCACTGTGTCACTATGTTTGCCTAGTGTCTTAATAAAAAGGATGTTCAGCAGATTTGACCTTCGAGTGCAGGTGAGGTGACTTTTTCAATATTCCTGTGATTTGCGTGGTGCCTTCCGCAGGTCATATCTAGGGCTGCAGCTAACGATTATTTTCAAAAACGATTATTTAGCCGATTATTAAGTTCGATTAATCCAAGTCTGAACAATACCCTTAAACATATGGGTCTAGCCATATCAACAACTCCCTTCCCTTATCCAAATTATAATTTGCTTATACCAGAAATGCAATATGTACTTCATATAACCATTTTTCTTTTCAGCCCTTGCTGGGCCTTTGCTGTAACTCGCAGTTGCCTGTTTGTAATATATATAAGGAAAATATTCCCAGCCCTTGATGGGCATTTGTTGTGACCTGCAATTGTCTACTTGTTATATAAGCAAATCTTCTCAGCTCTTGACGGGCCACTGTTGTGACTTACAATTGTCTGCTTGTTATCTTATAAATAAAGAATTTATAAATAAAATAAAAAAAGTTCGATTTATCGGTTAATCGGATGAACAAAATTGATCCAGTGATGCACTACTAGTTTGTATTGGGATTGTAGTCCAACATGGGCGCAAGCTTGGAGCGGTGGAAGTAAAAAACAAAAGTGTGCCATAGCGACTCAGGCCGGGCCCCCCTGTGCCCGGGCCCCATAGCGGCCGTCTAGGTCGCTATGGCGATTGTTACGCCACTGTGTGGTGTGCAATATGACGAAATGGAAAGTGTAAAATTATACAGCAATCAATGCAGAATGGCAGCGGCTATAGAGGATTACAAATCCCAGCAATAATACATTACACAGCACTATACAAAATACCACCAGCTATAGAGGAATACAGCAAATCCCAGCAATAGTACATTATACAGCGCAATGCAGAATACCACCAGCTATAGAGGAATACAACAAATCTCAGCAATAGTACATTATAGCTGGCGGTATTCTGCATTGCGCTGTATAATGTATTCTTACTTCGATTTGTTGTATTCCTCTATAGCTGGTGGTATTCTGCGTGCATTGCGCCACTGTATAATGTATTATTGCTGGCTGGGATTTGTTGCATTCCTCTATAGCTGGTGGTAAATTATTGCCCTGTATAATTATACCAAAGTCCAAGTCCCATTCGCACTGCCACAGTCTCAAAACCACAAAGTATGTGGTGCCCAGGTGACCA